CAAGGTCCTGCCCTTGTATTTCATCTTGATAATGGTCATTCTGTTTCTCTTTGCCTTCCTCCATTCCATTAATAGCATCTCCATTTTCTCCATTCATCGTTGCATATTCTCTTTTTTTTAAAGCTTTGTGTTCTGGGGATACATTTTCTTCCTCATCCACAGTTTCTGCTGGTCGCTGATGAATACAGGAAAAAACTTTTAATTGAAATAATCCATTATGAAAATAAAAAGTAGAAATATTATACTATGAGCATTGCAGGATATAGTAGTAAATTGCCAACATTGAATCTGGACTTCCAACCTCAAGCAAAAAAATTCAGTCAAAAATGTCAACAAATAGTGGAAGAAAAGAGGAATGAGCGAGTTTTTAAGAAGATTAAAGCAATCACAAGAGAACTTGGACCTAGCACAAAAATTTTCAATAGTAATCATAGAAGAATCAAAAACAATTTAAGAAATGTCAGAAGGACCTTACAGTTCCTTTCCAACAGGGTATTAAATGACATAAATATTTGCAGAGAAAGAATATATTCATAAATCAATTCCATTAGAAACTGTGAAATGTCAGACAATAGGTCAGATCAATTATCAAGTAAAAGAAAACACCCGTAGAAAGTGGCAAAAGGCCAGTTAAAGTGTTAACAATTCTATGTCAGCAAATATGAAACAAGACTCTGCAGCCTGGAAATTGGAAAACCTAAAAATGTAAGAAAAAAAAGCAAATTGCACTAATTCTGCACTAATTCTTCATGTCATAGACATTTGCTTAAACATTTACAAAAAGAATAGAAATGAAATACCAAACAGTGAAGTTTCAGACCAAAGGTGGATGATGAAGGAAACAAAATAAAAATATATGTTATCCTTGTTTTGTCAGCTACAGCAGTTTTCTGATTGTGTAGATTCATGTTAGAATACAGAATAGGCTATAATACATTAGCTAGAACACATAACTATCCTTTTGAAGAACTTTTACAAAGAACGATATAATATGTACAGAATGAAAGGATTTTCAGAAAGTGGTTCAGAATAGGGAAGGGAAATAGATGGTGAAATAGGCATATCTGTTTAAGATATATAACAAATGTATTACAGATATGGCAGAACAGGAAGATACATTAGTTGAATCAAAACAGGAAGCAGGGACAAATTTTGAGATATGAAGGTGACATTATATTTTCAGTCAAAAGTAAAGATATAGGAAAACTCATTATAAACAAACAGAAGGATATAAAATGTATATGTTTAGCAGGGGATTGATTTGGGTAAAATGACACACCCACCCCAATGATATGACTCTTAGCAAATATGACCATCTTTCAAAACAACAGTGGGCATTATTGCTATCTTATGTCCAGTTGCCCACTGATACTATAATAAATTGGTATCTGCTGGTCTATCTTTCAAAGTTTCACTGCTAACAAAACATCCTGACTTTTTCAGTAGTGAGTAAATGCATTCTTACACTGAAAGGATATGTATAGTGCCTTATTACTGATTTAAGAGGGAAAGTGCAGTTTTCAATTCTGCATGCTTGCTGTACCTTGTCTGTTAAAAAAAATACTAAAACCCCAAGTGATCAAATTTAATCTATCCAAAGCTACCCAGAAGAAGGGCTACGTTACCTACGGGGGCTGATAAATTGTAGAAGAGCCGGCAGAGCTGGAGGACAGAGTTAAGCACGTCATCAGTTTAAATAAATCTTCTATGCTGCAACTTAACATTAATTTAAGTGCAAAGGATCACGACCATCCATTAAGTTGAAACCAGATAAGAGTCAACAGAATTCAATGGACCACTTGTGGGAATGTAATAACTTTAATCCGATGTGGCACTTAACTCTGTCCCTCAGCTCTGCTTGCTCTTCTGCTACATAAATCTGCCAAAAGAAAAAATCAGACAGATCTCTTTTATGCTGCATCAAAAAGTGGTTCTTTTAAAAGTTATATTTTCTCTTCTGCATTCCCTGCATTAAAGAAGACTTACTGCCTAGCTTCCCTATTTTTTTCCTAGAACTCAGCAGCCTTCACATTAGTACATATCCAAAGCATGCAATATCAATGTGAAAGTGCAAATTTGTTTAAAATGTGGGTGTTTATCGAAACTTTTGAGATTACCTGGTCAACTGGGACCTCAATTTGAGTGTCTTCATCTTCCTGGACTTCTGCTGCCCCTCGCATTTCAGATCGCTTTTTCCCAGCTTTGTAAACACCATCATCTGAAGCAGAAAGAAGCAGAGTCAATTTTGTGACACTGTGTGGTGAAATGATTGCACTGCATCTAAATGATATTACATTGGTTATCTTTTGCATTATAACCATACCAGCATTAATAATGAAAAGGTAACTTGAAGCTGTTTCTTCTTCAAAAATGTACTTCTGTTTTTCCAAACAGATACAGTATACTAACATGGTAACTCATGAAAATAACACAGAGATAAAAAAAAAAAAAAACCCACATCTTTTCTGAAAAATAAAGCTAGAAAAATATTTTAATAATAATATGCTCAAGTGAGAAGAAAAGATTAACTGATCTAATATACATTTATAAAGTAGAAGCAAAGACAAATATTTGTTGAGCTCCTTAAAAGCTGATAAGTCCACCTCTTGCTTTTGAAACTGAACATGGACACAGGAGAGGGCTTTTTTCAGTAGTTGTGTTCATAAGTAGATAGTTCTCTACTTATGATCATTCAAAGTTACAACCACCATTGAAGGGGTGCTAAACAACCCTCCATAAATGGTCACACCAACCCCCATGCTGTCATACAGCTGCAAGCCAGGGGGGTCAGCTTTATGACCAGTTCTGCAGTCACATGACTGTGATTCATGGTTTTTGCCAGTTTCTGGGGAAAAAATGGTCATTCAAATGAATGGGTTCGATTAACAACTGTTGTGTTTAATGACCACACAAAAAGAAGGCCAGAATATTACTTCCAGTCACATGGTGCCTCAACTTATGACCATAATGACTTACAATGAGATTGTAACAAATCCAGCCCCAATTACGGTGGTAATTGTACTACTTGTAGAGATTGTAGCACAAAGTGACTGCAAAGCTCTCTTTAGGGAAATATTTGGCTACTGGGTGAAAAATATCTGTTCAGTTAGGCCTCTGGACTATCCAGCTGAATACTTTTCTTTGGTGTTGCTGATGGGTTTAATTTAAGTGGCATGCTGTGATATTCCTGTTTATTTATTTTATGTTATGTTATTGCATTACATCATATGTTTGGTAATTTTTACCTTGCACCAAAAGTATATATTTAAACCATTATTTCTAAAAATGTGCAGATAATAGATAGGTGATCACTCAAAAGAGACTTTTTCTTACATGTTCTTTCTGAGCATGAACTTGCATGTTGCTTTGCATACAATAGTAAGGTTGAATGCAAAGTGACCAATCAGCTTCAAAGACCTGCATGGAACTTAAATATAATTTATGTTTTTTAACATATACCATTTTTCAAAGGAGTAAGACATGGAAGTTTCTGTCTAAAGCTCTGAATATCTGACCTGAAGCTCACTCTACAGAGGAAATTACAACAGAGGAGAACAAAGCAGAAGTGACAGATTGCAACAAGAAGGAAATTGCAAGAATGGGTAGAGAATGTTACAAGCAGAAAGCATGAGGCTGGGAAACAAAGAAACCAGGCTGCAACTGGCATCTCATTGTGGCTGCACTGGGAGAAAAAAGCACAAAAAGCAAGCTACTGTCTACTAGTATTTTGCAAGCCACCACATTTAATATCATTTTCCCCCTGTAACATTGTTTATTTATTTCCAATGACAGTTTTATCTTTATAGTTTTTAAAGACCAATCACTGTTTAGTTTTATCTATAGATTAAAATGCAATTATTAAAAGTATATTTCTTGATCAATTCTTGCCCCAATTAAATCATTACTTTTAATCATAGGGTGGTGTTGCACAAATTCATTTTGTCATTTTAGGGGGTCACAGTATTGCAAGGTTAAAAAACTTTGATAAAAATAGGGATAGGTAAACATAAACTAAATGTAAAGCAATTAAGCAATACATGCCATCTATCATCAATTCATACAGTTCATGTAAGATGCTTCCAATGAAAGGTCCACCTTAATGGATACCATCATTCCCAAAATTCCCAGCCTGGCAATGGAAGATTGAAAGTTTTAAATTTGTATGCTATGTTCATTTATCTTATGAATGACATTGATGGATATTGAATTTTAAGTATGAAGGCCAATAAACCAAATCATTACACATCCCACACACAAAGTTATAATTGCCACTACTTTTTATAATTTTAATTAATAAATCTGAGGTGTTAATAGCCATTGAGTTTGCTGAGAAAAGCATTTGAAAATGAAGAATCTGTCTACGGCAATGTTTCTCAACCATGGCAATTTGACGTGTGGACTTCAGCTCCCAGAATTCTCCAACTAGCCATACGGTCCACATGTTTTCAAGTTGCCAAGGCTGAGAAATATTGGTCTACACTAATTGACCATTCCCAATAATTTCAGGGTTTTAGAGGTCACTGTTTCTGCTTGCAGAGCCAAAATAGTTCTATACAGAAGGCAAACCCATGAAAGTTTGGGTTCCTAACAGTTGAAAAGAAGTCAACAAGCAATTTATGAAAAATGTTTAGAAAAGAAAATATGCAAATATAGTGTCCTTTCAGAGCAGCCAACTACAGTTTGAGCATGAGGCTTATTACCTCATGTCCCAGAGCTCTCAACCCCCCAAGGGCAACTGTTTGGAGCGTTTATAGGTAATCTCAAGTCTTCTCCGATAAGGAGAGGAATTATTGAACATCTAGGTTCTTCATTCCACCACAATAATCAGTCTACCATTTTTTCCCCAGAAGTCTGATAATTTCTGAAAACACTGTGAATTCTTCTATCTACTGAAAAATATTTCTTCTTTTATGACACTCAGTTCCTACATTCAGTTTGAAAGAAACTGATATATTGTGATAAAAAGGAATATCAAATAATAAACTAATTAGAGTTTCAAATAGTTAATAAGTAATCAATATTCTTTAATTACATCCAGAAAATTAATGTTCCATGCATAAGTTTATTTCTTCAGCAGAGCTAACAATAAAAAATGCATTGCACACAAATGTTAACAGTACGTATAACTATTTAATGAATTTCAAATTTGAAGTTCAGCATTAGAGAGAAAATAATCATGGTAATAATAGTTTGTTTCCCCTGAATATTTTATGTAAATCAAGGACATTTACAAAGCTTTAAGAGTAAGCTGGAGAATTAATGTAACTTCAAAAGAAAAAAAATCAGTGAATATTTATCACATGCTATCTTATTTTTTAAAAAAATACAGAACGCATTTTTCATTAGCTGTAACAGATATGTAAAAAGAATAGAGAAGAGATTCTATCCTATTCTCTAGGATAGCACATAAAGACACAAAGAGAGGTAGAGAAATTGCCATTGCTCTAAATATTTTTTTAAAAAGTATCCTATGAGAATTATAAATTTATCATGAAGACAGCTTTCTAAACAAAAAGCAGCCCCGGTCAAGTTATCTTGGGGGGACAAACTTCTTGCAAAAGAAGATGACATTTATTCAACAAAACGTATGTGAGATGAAAATGAAGGTATAACACAATCCAGTGATAGTAGTAATAACAGAAAAATATGGGAATACTATTAGAACCTATGTAACTATACAGTTAGTCCTTGCTTAACGATAGTATTTTGGGACCGGCAACTCCATCACTGAGCAACACAGTCATAAAGTGTGATGTCACATGACTGTGCCATCTGACAGCAGTTGCAGCAATCCCAATTGCGGTCATTAGGTGAATACTGCACGGTTGCAGCATCCCGTGGTCATGTGATCGCTGTTTGCAACATCTTTCCAGCTTCCCCATTGACTTTGCTTGTTGAAAGCTGGCAGCAGGTATCACACATGGTGATCATGTTAACATGGGGTGCTGCAATGTAGTAATTGCAAGCTAGTTGCCAAGCACCCAAACTGCAATCAGGTGACTGTAGAGATGCTGCAACAGCTGTTACTACAAGGATCCATTGTTCAGCACCATCGTAACTTCAGACATTGGCTGAACAAGTAGTCCTTCAACAAGGGCTAACTGTCCTATGCCAATTGGCATAGAACAAGGGTTCTATGCCATTTACCCATGCTTGAAAAGTGCTAAAAGTACTAGTGGAAAGAACAAAATAATGACATCACAGAATCTAACATGCAGTTTCCTATATATAGCACAAAGCAAATTTAATATCCCTTTCATGAAAAGCTCTATGAGGGTGGTAGGATTATAACCACAAACAGCCAGAACCAGATAGAAAGGAAACTTTGTCAATAGAATACTTTTATTAATCTATTAATTTATGACATCTAGATTCTAGCTTTCTGTCAACAGGCAGAACTTAATACACTAAGCATAATTTCTTAACAGTATCATTGAAACACCCACACAAATATAAAAACATTTTTCTTGTGACATTCTTAGTAGTAAGATGATCAAAACAGAGGTAAGTTCTTATGCTAAAGCATCTATTTGGAAATATCTGAAATGAGCAACAAGTGAGAGGGACCCATATCTGCCACCAATTGCAAGAACAGAGCCATAGCTGAAAGATCACAACTTTTATTGAAAAATGTTAATGACATACAATGCATTCTTTCATGGAAGGTCCTGAAAAGATAGCCAAGTAACAGATGCAGATATTTCCGTCATGGTTTTTTTTTTTCTGGCTACAACTGCACCTGTTACATTTCCATCTGTGAAAGGCCCAAGATTCTCAGGACAAAGATAGCAACTTCAGAATGGAACAGCTGCTATTATATCTTCTTTTGCAATCTGTGGAAGTCCTGGTGAGAAATACTTATGCTTCTGGGAGTGTTGGATGGCTGCACTGATGTCTGTGGAAAGACAAGAGAAATAGTGCTGCATAATGCATAGTAGTTATAACAGTGTTGTGAATGTGTAATTATTAAACAAGTGAAAAGATACACTTATCTGAGCATTTTGTTATTTCATCTCAACCAAAGTTTCTCACCCTTCCCAGGGATATAAACCCATGTCATGTAATAATAAATAATAAATGTAATAAAGTAATACTCACCCATCCATGGGGAACCGAACAAAACTTGATTTGTGGTTTATAATTTGTTCTGCAGCTATGTGCCTTGGCTCTGTAAGAAATAATGAGTTAGCAGTGTTTGGCTCCGTATCCATTTTTCAATAAGAAAAGAAACTGGGTCCCCCACTGTCTACCCCATGCAGAGCTCTGAGCTTTTGTTAGAACAAGGTCTCTCAGACTGTCCTCTCAAAAAAATGAGACAACATTGTTTAGCCACTACATACTATCCACATATTCCTGAAGGAGCAGATAAAAACAGACTGTAATCTTGTGTGTTGCCTTGTTCTACAAATCTCAGAGATGGTTTTGGGGCTATGATTTTAATAGACCTGATTTAAAGCCTGAATTCCCCAGACCACAATGCTCCCTTGCTTACCTTTTATTTTGTCCTTGTATCCCTGATTGTAGGAAAGAATGGAAGTTCCTTGTGTTTGATTCTGGAGACTACAGGTAGAATACCTACAATAGTTCTGAAAAATATATTAACAATCTAGTCTTCCTAGTTTGTTATTGACCTCAGTTGTTTGCTTTAAGCCATGTATCACAAAGTTCTCATCACCAAGTTGTGCACTTGTACATTCACATTATGGGGAAAACAGAACCTAAATGATGTAAACCTTTGGCATAAATGTTGATATATGGACTCTGTTTTCTTACTTTATTGATATAATCCAGTATAATCCACTATATTGGGATTAATACGATGGTCAAAATCCTTTCCACAGTAGTAATGTAATTGAGTAGCATGACTCACTAATAAGTAGCAGTCTTGCTAATATCGATGAATCTTCTTTATTTGCATTTCTTATCTAATTAACCTAATGGACTAGAATAAATAAAGCATACAAATTCAGAAATAGCAAATTGGAATATTTTGTGACACCTACTTTTAATGTTCATTATTACATATTTAATTATTTAATTATATTTGTAATGTGTCTGGCAACAAGATGCTGGACTAGAAACAAGGTGATTGTGAGTTCTAGTCCTCCCTTAGGTGTAGAAACCGGCTAGGTGATTTGGGGCCAGTTACTCTCTCTCAATCCCATTCATTTTACTGAGTTGTTCTTGAAGTTGGAAAAAAGGAGCCTTTATTGAACAAAATAAAGACCACATATAAAACAAAGCAATCAAATACCAAATAAATGGTACTCTAATTTTATGTACTTACCGTTAACAGGAAAAATGTAAGATTTGGTTACAATTTTTGCATCTTCTTTTGATTTTGTAGGTTTTTTAAACTCTTGACTGTGTCCAATCTTTTCCTTTCTCTTTGGCGGTTGAGGCGAAGACAATGTGTCTCCTGTGTCAGTAGATTTTGACTAATAGGATAGAGGGAAAACAGGTAATTTATTTGCAGAAACCCAAAAAAGTGTTATTAAATATAAACTTCAAATGTATGCATATAGTCTTCCTTAATATAAATATTCCTAAATTACAATTTTAACACCATTGTACTTTAGCTTTAATATGAAAAAGGCAACTTATTAACAGCTACGAAATTCCAAGCAGACAAAAAGATCAAGGGAAAGCCCTATCTATGTGTTTCCTTGCCATGTCTCACAAGGTATCTATGAGTGAATCTGTAAAGGAAATATAATTTTATCTGATGGGATTAAACACAGTAAACCATGAAACCCATATTATATTTAATACTTACACTCCCCTTTGATTTTCCAGATCCACCAACAGGTGGTAGCGAGGATGCCTTTGAGCTGCAAAAACAAATACATATTAATTTATTTGTACACTAAAGCAGCCAACTATTGCTAAATTTTGTATAGAAACAAAATTATGATGTGATCTATTTTGCTGTAGTTTCTGTAATAATTATAGCATATCCTAAAATGATGCACAAAGTTGCTAGAATTCTCCTAATTTCTCTGAGGTGGGGTCCACTTGGTGATGGCCGGACAGAGAGATCAAGCCAAGAAGTCCTCCTATGGATGGTGTCTCAGAGCCTGATGCTCTTGCCCTTCCTATTTAACATCTATATCACAGAGTGAGATCATCTGTTGACCTAGGGTCTGATATCATCAGTATGTTAATAAGTTCTAGTCCTAAGTCAGTCAGCTGATTCTGTCAAAATCTTGCCCTAATGTTTGGAGGTTGGATAGGTCTGGATAGGGAGGAATTGACTTGGGTTCAATTCTGATTAGATACAGTGGCTGTGGATGTTTGGACTTCCTAAGCCTGGAACAATTTCATCTTTGCTCCTGAGTGTGACTGCATTTCCCTCCTCAAGACTGGCATGCAACTGCCATGGCTGAAAAGCCCTTTGACAAATCCATTTGTGTGCCAAATGGGCTCATACCTACACCCTCAGAACTGATAATTTCATGACGGAACTATGAACTGAACTGAACACAGCCTGCCCATATGAGACATCTGCTCCTTGAGCTGTATTGTTTGCCAGTAAGCTTCCATGTATACCATAATTTGAGATTCTGGTTTTAAAAAAAAGACCTATTAGAAAAGGACCTGTTTATCTGAGGACTGCCTATCTCCTGTAGTTTCTATCTGTCTCACACAATTTGACAGATTTAGCTTAGTTGGGTGTAATTGAGCAAACAACTTCTCTTGGAAGCAAAGAATTTTCTGTCCTCTGGAACACCATTCCCCCTGAGATTTGTTCAGCTCCCTCTACCCCGTCCTATTTAAATGAGCCCTTAAAATCTGGCTCTGTTCCCAGACTCTGGGTTAAACTGGGTAATAGACCACCTGTATAATGTTCTGTTTTTTCTAAATTATTGCTGTTGTTTTCTGGACTTTTGAAGGTTTTCTTCTTTGATGTTTTTATCTATTGTTACTATAGATTTTACAAGCTATCCAGAGTTGTAATGTGTTGTGGCAACATTTATTTTAATAAATAAATACATCTTATTAAATATTACAAAGTTTAACCATTTCACTAATTATAGTAACTTTGCTCTGGTAGTATGAAAAACAGCATTTTACCTGTTTCTCTCTCTATGTCTCTGTCAATCTCCATTTCTCTCTCTCTCTCTCTCTCTCTCTCTCTCTCTCTCTCTCTCTCCCTCTCTCTCTCTCTCTCTCTCTCAGGTGTGGGTGTGGGTGTGGGTGAGTGTGTGTAGGGAGAGAGGGACGGACAGAACCAGATAAAATGCTTTTAGCCTGAGTCAACCTCTACACAATGGCTGGAAACAGCATTCACACATAATTATTCATCCTGTATAATCTTACATAATCTACAAAGGAATATTACAAGCTTTTTTGTGTTATACCATGGCTTTAAAGGGCAATAGTATTTTAGGTTAAACCTAAAATATGTAATTGTATGTAATCCCAAACATTGCTAGGTATAAATGCTTCCCTACCACAAATGTGATGTGAATTAGACAATCAAGTGAACAAAGAGTATCAGCCATTATGTCTAGTTGTTCCTTCTTATATCTATAGAAATCTATAGTCAGCAGAATCTCAGTTGTGACTACTCTGGTGATATCTCTTTGTTGTTAAGGTCTCAGAATTATTAACATTATGGTAATTAACCATGTTAATATCAAGTACCAATACCAGCATTTCTGTTCATCAATAAACAGGGCAAGAAACATTTACATACCCATAAGATCTCTTCACTGTGGACTTGCTGAACAATAGTTCACTATATGGCAATTTCTTAAATTTATCTCTGCCAACTGCTACATAAAACTGTCCATTTTCCAAATCCATCCCGCTTTCCACAGATTTTCCATCTAAAGTATAAAGCCTATAAAAGAAACATAATAGTACCATATTAACCTTTTAGTAAATGTGTTCTCTAACACTGTATTACAATTGTATTACCAATCAACAAATACCTAATAAATCTCATTATAGATTATGAACTTTATTTCAGAAAACAAATCTTGAGTCTCATCACAGGAAAAAATATAAACTATACCTAAAGAAATTTGTACAAGAAAAGATCTCATGAATTTGCTGTACTTTACAAAGCTGTGATCATCAGCAATTCTCATCAAAATTGTCTGCTATTGCTCCATAACAAAAACAAAAAGTAAATTTGTATTCAGCACATAGCCAGTATGAAAGGTTCGCTTGCCTCACAGAGCCATTAAATAACAATCTCAAGAATAAACAACTCAGAATAATGTAGCAGCATAAAACAATCTAAAACCAAGCAAATATTATAAAATTGCTGCAACAAAACAGTAGACCAGGAACATTTAAAGCACAAAATCATCAATTATCGCTGTAATTAAGATATAAATACTATGGAGGAAAAATTAAAGAATAAAAATATTTTTTCACAATTTCTTAAATCATGTCAGTATAACGAGTGAGCAAATAAATTGGATGGGAGGGAACTGGAAAGAATAGAAGCTGCCACCAACAAAATCCTAGCCCAAGTTGACACTAGCAGAACTTCTTCCCAGGATGCCATATGCAAGAAATTATAACAGCAGACAAAGCTTCTTGGATGAGAAGCAAAACATCTGCAAAGAAAAACAAGAAAGTCCAGTTGCCTCTTGAAAAAGCATCTTTGAAACAACCATGAACTGGATGACTGAGAATCTCAATAGATATTTAGCTATAACAGCAGAATATGATGCTCAGGTTAGCAGGATACAGAAGAAGATGTTCCATTAAGTTGAAGGGGTCTAATCATATATACAGGTTTAAATGTAGTGACAAAAACATTAAATTTAACTTGGGAAGAAACAGGAAACCCATGCAGTTTAACCAAAACAAATAATACGTGCTCCTGCAGGGATCTACCAAATAAAAGTTTAGCAAGCCTTTTTTCAAGGCCATTTCTACCTGGAGCCCTTTGCAATAATCAAGAAACCAGGTCAGATCTCACAAAGCAGGGATACAGCTAGTAATTATCTGCAGATAGATTTAGGAATTTCTGACTACCATGCTGACCAAAACATTCAGGATCAGAATAGATTTTGTGCTTTAAATGTTCCTGGTCTACTGTTTTGAATAGGGCCAAGGAGCTTCCTTAAACTGCAGATCTGACCTTCAGAAAAACAGCCTCTTGTTTGACAGGAAAAGTCCCTTCAGCTTGGTTGACATCTCTCCCAACCCCAAGTATCACACTACTCTAAATAATTTCAATCCATTATCATGCCCCTTTATCATAATTCATCCAGTTTGAAAAGGGTAGGAGGGGGGAGGGAGATGTGGATGAGGGGAAGAGTCTTCACATAACTGTCCCAGTTATTCCCACCTGCCCTTATTGTTAATTAAATGGCCTTCTGTGTTTAAGAGGCAAGGGAGTTCTCTTGTACTTCAGACTTAATTGTCTTCTCACTCTTCTGGATATAGGTTAAATAAAAGCAAGTTTCTATTTTTGTGTATTTCTTGATAAATCTTTTACTATAAATATGTGAAATATATTCAGCATTTGGTTATGACAGGAACATATCCTCTAACAAAGATTCCTGCTGAATTCATATCTCCAACATGAGAGCACTAGAGAGGATATCTTGGCCACTGATTTTTAGGAGCACAACTGGGTACAAGTTACTCCTATCATGCTTCTTTAGCAGGTCACCCATCGGAGTGACCAGTGTCCTATCTGTGCTATGATGCAGACCAAAGCTAGACATTAATAATCTGTTCAATGCAGAAGTATTTAAAACTGTTCCTAGCCATTCTGTCAACTATGTTGGCCAGAATAATAGATTTGAAACTGTCTTGAAGTTAGTAATAAGCATTGTTTTTTTCAAGTTGAAGCATCAGAAAACATGGTTTCATATTGTACTAAAATACTAGCGCATAGGCAGTCTTGATTTTAACACTTTACTATTACTTAAATTGAGAGCAAGTTTGGTGCTGTGGTTAAGGCATCGGGCTAGAAAACTGGGAGACTGTGAGTTCTAGTCCCATTTTAGGCATGAAGCCAACTGGGTGGTTTTCAGCCAGTCATTCTTTCTCAGCCCTAGAAAGCAGAGAATGGAAAACCACTTCTGAAACCTTGCCAGGAAAACAGCAGGGATTTGTCACCAGGAGTCAACACTGACTTGAAGGCACCCACATAAACACACAAACAACCTAAATTATAGTAAACAAAAAATACAGATTTAATAGAATGCCTTATACCAAAAAAAGCTATTCCTGCCTCATCTGTATCTTGAGAAATTGTTTCATATCTGCACCGCTAACAATAGCCACTAGATGGGATATCAGGCCAGC